AGCAGGAAGTGCTTTCGGTCCTGGACTTTGTGAGGCTGTCTGCTGCTTGGGAAAGGAGAGCAGGCTTTGCCAGGCTTGTTGTGGTGGAGTGTGAGCACTGCCTGGACCACAGATAAGGAGTCCTAAAGTGGGACTGTCATGAAGTCCTTTGGCAGCTTCCTGGGGAGCCTCTCCCTCTGCTCTGGCCAAGCAGATTAAGGCCATCCTGAGTACCTTATGGCTAGCAGGTGACCTCTGTCCATTTCTGTTTAAAAGAACAGGGCTAGTCTCCTGACTGCCATTGTGACTCTGTTCCTTAGCATATTCCCATGTGGTGGAAAACACTGCCTTTTTTGGAGATGTGGTTCTACGCTTCCCCAAGATCGTGCACCATTACTTCGATCGCAACTCCAACTGGAACAACCTGATCCGCTGGGGGATCAGCTTCTGCAACCTGACGGGAGTGTTTGACCAGGGTCCCCATTCCCAAGTGCTCGGACTGGTAAGACTGCAATTATTCATCCTTGCCCCTGCCTTGTCCCATCCTCCAGAGCAGAGATGGCCAGAGGGGAAAGGAAGTGCATGAGCACAGCTGCTGAGTCAGAGAAATGGGGAGAGGAAGGTTGGACGGAATTGAGAGGAGAGAAGCGAGTAAGAAAAAAGAAATCAGGGTGGGGGAGAGAAAGGAATTAGAGATGTGGGTTGCCACAGTAATACAGAGTGAAAGATGATGCTCTCCAGCTCTGGTTTTGTTTTGCTCTGCAGATGGCTCAGGAGCTGGGAATTAGTGAGAAATCTCCAGATTACCGGAATCCCTTCAAAACTGACCATTCTGAGGTAAGTTGGCAAAGCCAGGATGGGTGTGCTTCCTCCTCCTCCTTTTTAACTGTGCTCTAGGCATTGGGTTAGGAGTAGAGAGGCCAAAGGTGAGGAACTGGCCAAGTGTGGAGTGAAGTGGTGGGGAGGGGGAAGGGGGGAGAAGTCAGAGCTTACCTCAAACCATTTTAAATTTGTTCACAATGGCAGTGGGTGGCCAATCCCTTTCCCACTTCCCCTGATAGCTGTGACAGCTGCCCCACCCTACAGAACTTCACTGCTCTGACTGAAGGAGGTTTATTCCATCTGTTGCTGAAGGCAAGAGATGCACTGAACTTGGGGAATGGTAGGTCCATATGCCCTTCCATTTATCTCCAACTTTGCCCTTAAAGTCCTCACAGTGGGCCCCGCTTGTCCTTTGGGGTGCAGCTCTTCCCAGAGCTTATTCATTCCATTTCTGGATGGGCAGGAGAGGGACAATATCCTGAGAGGAGTTCCAGGAAAGGAGTCAAACAATTTAGAGTAATAGCAGAACTGGTTAGGGATTACTTAGAGAAGCTAAATGCTTTCAAGTCAGCAGGGCTGGATGGGATACCCAAGGGTACTGAAGGAATTGGCTGAGGTAATTTCAAAGTTGCTGGCTATCCTCTTTGAGAACTTTGGGCTTAGGCATGTTCATGGACTACAGAGATATAGCAGCAGTTGGAGATGTTTTCTCTGGCATCTCTAGCCCGGTAATGACGGGTAATAAATGGGGGCTAAGAGCCACGAGTCTCACCCAGGTGCTGGGAGATCCTTTCAGGGGTGCTGCTTAGCCTTAGTGCTGTCTGTGCGTGTGCAGGAGAGGTCCCAGATGATTGGAAAAGGGCAACTATAGTGCCCATCTTTAAGAAAAGGGAAGAAGGAGGATCTGGGGAACTACAAACTAGTCAGCCTGACCTTGATACCAGGAAAGAAGATGGAGCAGGTGTGAAGCACCTAAAGGAGAACAAGGTGATCAGGAACAGTTAGCATAGATTCACCAACCTGACCAACCTGATTTCCTTCTGTGATAAGGTGACAGGCTCATTGATATGGGGTGGAGGGGAGAGGGTGTGAAATACCTTGACTTTAGCAAGGTGCAGTTTCCCTATGACGTTCTCATTAACAAGATAAGGAATTACAGGCTAGATTAAAGTACTGTAAGATGAATACACAGTTGGCTGGATCATCACGCTCAGTGAGTAGTCATCAATGGCTCAATATCTACTTGGGAAGGTGGTTTCAAGTGGGGTTCCCCAGGGATCTGTTCTGGGTTTGAAATTGTTTAATATCTTCATTAAAGATTTGGACAATGGGATCAAGTGCATGCTTAGCAAATTTGCAGATGCCACCAAGTTGAGCGGAGTTGCAGACGTTCTGGAGAGTAGGGTTGGATCCAGAATTACCTAGATAGCTTGGAGAAATGACCTGCAGTCAACCAGATGAGATTCAGTGAGGACAAGTGCAAAGTCCTGCAGTTTGGATGGAATAATTGCACACACAAATACAGAGTGAGGAATGACTGGCTAGGCTGCAGCACTGCAGAGAAGGACCTAGGGTTACAGTAGATCATAAGCTGAATTTGAGTCAACAGTGTGCTCTTGTTCCAAAAAAAGCTAACAGCACACTGGGTTGTATTAATAGGAGTGTCACTTGCAAATCAAGGGAAGTGATTCTTATTTTGTACTGTATTCAGTACTGGTGAGGCATCAGCTGGAGTTGTGTGTCCAGTTTTGAGCCTGAGATTTGAAATAGAATATGAACAAATTGGAAAGAGTCCAGCAGAGCAACAGAAAGATTAGGGACCTCAGAAGCAAGGGTTACGAGGAAAATCTGAAAGATGTATTTAGTCTGGAGAAGAGAAGACTATGGGAGGATTTTATAACAGTCTTTAAATACCCAAAGGATGATTACAGAGAGGATGGAGATGGGCTTTTCTCTGTGGACAGGACTATGAACAAAGGACTTGAGGTGCAGCAAAAGAAATTTAGGTTGAAGATTAGGAGGAACTTTCTGACAATGAGGGTGATCAGGCATTGGAACAGGCTGCCTAGAGAAGCTGTGGAATCTCCATCCCTGGGCATTTTCAAGAGCAAGTTAAACCGACACTTAGCTGGGGTGGCTTAGTCAGGGACAATTCTGCCTTGAGCAGGGGACTAGACTAGATGACATTGTGAGGTCCCTTCCAGCCCTATTTTTATGATTGGGTCTTCAAAATGGGGACTGCAGTTCCTGTTCTCAGAAGTATTGGGACCTGGTTTGTCTCTTCCTTGACACCTGATTTAAAGCCCTCTGGTGTCAGCCTGTTAACCTCAGTGTGCTTTGTATCAGGCCTTTAGCTGGAAGTAAATCCCTTGAAATCAGCCAGGCTATCACAGGGGTATGTGCACAGAGAATCTATCACTCTGTGTACTTTGAGGCTTAATTAACTAGTTGGGAAAGGGGGAGGAGATTGGAGGGGAGGGTGAGGGGAGGCATATTCTGAGACCTCTGAGGTGCTACATTTGCATTTCCCTTAACTTCCATGCTGTGTACCAAGCTTGTCCCTCTACTTGCAGTTTTTTCCTGGTGCAGACACATTCCAGAAGGCCCTCCGAGAGGAAGAGAAACGCAGAAAGAAAGAAGAGAAAAGGAAGGAAATCCGCAAGGGGCCCCGGATTTCACGCTCGCAGTCTGAGTTGTAATGATGGGACCCACCTCATCACTGGGACCCCTGCTGGCGGGAGATGCAGCAAATGGAAGTGGAGTGTCTTACCCCCTCAGCAGCCTCAGGAAAAGGCCGGGCAGTTCACCTTTCATCTGTGCGGTGATTTTTTCTTTTTCTTTTTTTTCCATGGTATATCAGTAAGGACTGGATTGAATCCTGACAAGGAACTGGGTGGAAATCCTGGCCTTTCAGTGCAACCCCTGTGAGAAAGCTCTTTGTATAAACTGGAATACAGAGAGTCTGGCAGAGAATGTTTGTTGTGTGCGTGTGCGCCCGAGGGATTTGCTGATGCTAAAGGTGCGAACCTGTGGAGTTGGGGTGGGACTATACTGGTACTTGCTCCCTTGAGCCATAACATGGAGGGCAAGACCCCAGGACTGTGGTGTGAGCTACGTAGTTATACCTGATATCTGCCTCTCTGGAGAGTGGGAATGCATAACAAGGTGTGTGGTGGGACCAGATCCCCATCTGCTTCATGGACCTTCCATTCCTGGAGAAATGTAACGCATTTGTAAATGTTAAACAACCCGTCTCCCCCAGGAAAAGGGGGGCCAGCAGCGGACCAAGTGGCTTTAAAGGCAGCATTGCTTTTGTGTATGTTAGTTAGCTAACAAGTTCCTCCCCTTCCAGTTACACTAAATCTCTGTGTTGTTGCACTCTCCCTCAGCCAACCAGACCTCTCATCTCCAAGTGGCTGTTTTATTAAACAGAGCTTATTTTTATAAGGCCATCGGCTGATTTGGATTTGAGAGCGCCAACACAGCTGATCCTAAATCCACATTGTGTGAAGGAGCCTGTGTTCGCAGAGCTGCTGCTAGGGGAAGGTTTCCGAGAAGGGTGGGGATGGAGGGGAGTGGGATGCTGCCAGGTTGGCAAGGACAGGCTGAGAGGGCTCACAGGAGGGTATTGTCATCATTAGGTGTCCAATCAAAAGATCGGAGTAAAGACTAAGCATGGACTTTTAAAAACAAAGGCAGCTTTTGATATTGGTGGCTAGCGAGGAATCAATTTGGGTTTCAAGTCTCAACCCAGTCCATGGCAGAGGGGTGCCCACATCACACACAATATTGCCACTGGTATACAGGGGTGCTCTGGCCAAAAAAGCCAGAGGAATAAGCTCTGGAGACAGAACTCTTTTCTCACAGTACCTCTGGAGAGCCCCTCAGGCTCTGAGTCTGAGTCACTTTGCTGGGGAGGCAAGGGGAAGTTTTATGTAAAATGTAATAAAAGCTGAAGAGGGGGTTTCTGTCTCCATGGCTGCTGCTTTGACATCTTGTACTCTCCATATGTTTTGGGTTGTGGGTTTTTTGGGTTTTCTTTTTTTCTTTTTGAAAACGTTTTATTTTAATGCAACAAAATAAAAGATACCAGCCCACACTATCACCAGGGTGGGAAACTCTTCTGCTGTGGAAGTGCTGGGAAGAAATGGAAGCTAATGACTGTACTTTAAAACACTGGCTCTTTGCTTTGGATCAAGCAACTGATGGTTGATGTCACCAGCTGATCAGAAGGACCAGGAGTGCGCTGTTACCAACCAACGACCTTGCTTGCTCTGGAACAAGCCTGTTCTTTTGGTCATTCAGCCATTTTGCACAGTTAAGCACGCTAGAAAATAGCTGGTTTCTACCCCATGTTCACATTCTCTTTCATTGGTGAGGCAAAGGTTTGCCACCCACTCTAGTCCAAATCCAGTGCTGGTTGCCAGTGAAATGATTTTGGTGGATCTCCACCATGCCCTCAGCGGACATTCATGTACAGCACAAAATCACCACACAATTTGGCACAAGTGGTAACTGCTGCTTGGAGTCTTAGGACTGGAACAGCAAAGGAATATAGGGCGCGTAGGTCAGGAACTGAGGGAGCTGCATCTGAGGAATGTCCGCCTGCTTCCAGCTAGTGCAATATGCCTTCACTAGCTCAAGCACTAGAGCCCAACAAAGTCACTCTCTTCATCCAGGTCTGGACTTTTTTTTGTTGTATTTTGAGTCGCTGATTGAATCGCACAGCCCTAGACCCTAGGTCCTTCTTGCCAAGGGATCATCCTCCTGTGGGGCAGGAGGGATTCCATTGTGTGAAACTAATCTGACTTGTTGCCTTCAGACTATTCTGCAGGCCAGAGATGGGAAATGTTCTCTATTTTTAAAGACCGAATAGTCAGTGACATTTTGTTTTTTTGACATCCATTGAAATGGAAAACATTTTTTTTCCTTGAATAAATTTGAATTTTTAAAAATCAAATCTGGATCTTGTTAGTGCTTCATCTGGAGGGGGTGTTTGCTGAGTGATGTCTCTGAGAATTGTGAACTCCTATCTTCCAGGGTGTGTTGGTGCTGATATACAGCCAGGATCAGGGCTGAGTACCTGGACAATCTGTTATCATAGCACTTATTATTTGTTTAAAAGAGTGTCTTTAAAAATACTGTGCAAGTGTGCTCTAAGAATCCTGTCCCACCACCAGCAACATGCCACCTGTTTCCCAATGAAATTCCAGGGAAGATTCAGCTAAGTGAAATGGAATAGTCCAGGACATTTCTGTTAGATCAGGACACTGGGATTAAGGGCCATGTTCTTACAGAAGTGCCATCCAATCTTTAATGACCCCAGGCTTTCATAACACACCAGCTACTGCTATTTAGCTAATGGAAGCAGTATAATGATTTGGGGCTTTTTTAAGGACTGTCTCTTACCCACAGTCTAGCAAGGTCATTTAGGATTATGTTTTTTCAAAATTATTTGTGTACCTGAGGTTGTTGAAAGGCACCATGAGGGATTTTCAAAAGCATCTAAGCAAAGTGAGGCACCTAATTCCTGTTGAATAGGTTGCGGAAGGAAGGAAACCAACTTTAGATACTAGCTGCTGTAGTCTTTCAGGCTGTATCAGAACTTAGGGCTGAAATAAATTTATGCTTGAGCATTATTAGCTTGATTTTTTTCAGAATGCTGAACATCCATAACTCTTGCTGATTTGAAGTAGAACTGATAAGAGGTTGGCACCTCTGCAAAGCAGGTCCTGGATGCATGGGACCAAGCATAAGCAGATGGCTGTTGGGAGCAGTATTGATGGATAAAGAAAGTGGTGGTTCTCTTCTCTCTGCACTTGGTTCTGAGCCAGTATCACAGTATGGTGCTTATTTAGGTCTGAGCTGTCATCATCAGTGTCCTTTGAATGGCAAATACAACTGAGACCTGAAAACCTGGGCTCATTAAAAATTGGACAGCAGTTCTGTGAGGATATGGCTCTTAATCCCAGTGTCCTGTTTTATTAGAATTGTCCTGGCCTGTTCCATTTTGTCTATGTCAGTCTTCCCTGAATCTTCTTCATTGACAGGTGTGTAGGAGATGGATATCTGATGTGGGCCACATGCCACTGCCTACAGCCCCCTCCCAATCTTGCATCCATGCCACAGTATGGGCTCTGATGCAATGGATGCATCAGCTTTGCATGTGTCAGCTCTTCTAACCACCGAGCAGATGGGCTGTCACAGATTAGTCAGAGATAGAGAGGGAAGAGAGGGAGTGAGGAGGCCTGACACGATCTTTACATACCCAGAAGGTATGTGGGTTAGCAGTGAGCAGGGTGTGTGATTGTTCAGGGACACAATCATGCAGGGAGCAGCACAGTCTCAATGACAGCATGGCTCCCCTCTCTTGGATCATGGGTTAGAGATATCATCTGGTAAACTGCAGTCTCCTTGTCCTAGCAATCCTGTAGGGGTGGGGAAGGCTTGAACGATTCTCATTTCCTGCCTTCTGTCTTCTACCAAAGTTAATTTGCTCAAATGATGCTGCCAGGTATGAACCATCACATATATTCCTGCAGTATCCTTTGCATCACCTTGGGAAGTGAGGTGGAGGATTTAGAAACACATCTGAGAAGGATCAGTTAAAAAAACCCTCTTTAGTTTCCTTGTCCTAATAGGTCCCTTTTTTTGCAGAACTACTCATGTTACAGGTTGGATGCTTCATGGGGGTGGGATTTGCCTGATAAGACATCTCTGGTCAAATATCTTTCCTTGCTCAATTTAGAATCCATGGGTGGGAGTTTGTTTTGGAAATGTCTCCACTCTCTCCTGTGAGTGTTGTATTAGCAGCTGATCTGGAAGGCTGCATTTCAGCATTGTTTTGTACGGAGGAAGCAAACACACCATCTTGGACTTGTGACCGCCTCTGAGCATATATAATGGTACTAAGAAGAGTTGGGTCTGGTCTGAATCTAGTCCAGCAGTCTTCAACCTTTTGGCCTCAGGATCAGGCCCACAAGCCCGGCTTCAGCTTGCACTGCCTCCACCTGGTTCCATGTGCTGCCTCTATCAGTCTTGCTTGCTGGCATTGATGCCTCAGGACCCTGTGTTGTCCCTGCCTGGCCTCAGGGGCTCCAGACCCCATACTGCCTCTTCCAGGCTTGCATACCAGAATTGGGGCCCCTGAGGCCCATGCCACCTCTGCCAGGTCCCACATCCAGGGGTCAGGCTCTGGAGCTGGCACCTCTGCCCGGATTCATGAGCAGGGACTGGGCCCCAAGGTCCACACTGCCTCCATCAGGCTCCATGCGCAGGGATTAGGGCCCCATGTTGCCTCCACCCAGTCCTGCATGCCAGGATTGGGTTCTGGGGCCCCACACTGCCTTGACCTGGCTCTGAGTGCTGAGTTTGGGTCCTGGTCTGCCCTGCAGGCCAGATTACAGGTGATAGGGGCTGGTATTTAAGCACCCCCGATCTAGTACATACTAAACCAGTGCCACAGTGTAGTGCTAGGGAACAGTGCAGTCTTACAGATGGCATATTACCAGGGATCCGGGTTTTCCATTCACTGTGGAAAAATGTGGATTTTCTCCTTTAACAGAGAAAAATGCAGATTTTCTCACTTAAAAGAGAAAATCACAGATTTCTCCTTTAACAGAGAAAAATGTAGGAGTTCTAGCCTGCAGTGGGCTGTTGTGGGGAGTAGGGGCCACCAAAGTGAGGTGCAGCAGCGGTAGCAGCATGGAATTGTGCCCCGACTGCTGCCAGGTGGGCAGGGGGCACCTCAACTTTGTGGCCATGGCAGCATTCCTTCTTGTGCCGTGTACTGCTCCTGCTGAGCCACGGAGGCAGCTCCTGCCCCAGAGCTTGTCCAGCTCAGCTGCAGTCTGGTGCCCCGTTGTGGGCACAGAAATCTTGCGGGGCACATGCCCCCAAGCCCCCATGTCACTTGTGCCCCTCCCACCCCCCATGCATCACCTGTGCCCACACATGCCCTTTCCCACACTGGG